TTTTTTTTTAAATGTACTCAATAATTTGCTTCTGCTCATACTGTACTGTGTTTCCTTACATGGAGATAAGACGAAGGAAAAAGAGAAAAAATAAATAAACTTTCATTTGTGAGAGAGCTTCAGTAGGTTCAGGGGAAAGTGGAATTATCTTGCCCCTTGTTTTTTCCCAAAAACTTTTTGATGTCTTGTAAATATATTTGATTGCTTACTTAGAAATATCATTATATATAAAAGATATATTCTAAAACCAATTGCATTCTTCAAAATGATTTAAAAAAACCATGAAATGTAATTTTAAGTATTGATACCATTTACCAAAGCAAAGAGCACGCATAGGTCACTGTGTGGTTTGCAGCTGTCAAGTCTTTGTCAATGAATGGAATGCAGAGTAAGCTGTGCCCCATAACATTTTCAAGGCGGAGAATTTTTAGAATCAAATAACAAGACTTATCTTCTAAGAAACCTCTGGGTAGGTTAAAACTTCCGATCTTCTCCCTAGCAATTGGGTACTTCACAATGTTTCACCCAAGAGTGAAACACTGCAATGTTACCTAAGATCAAATTTGAAGATGCCAGCTGTGGGAGTGAGGAGATAAGAAGTTCTAGTTGTACTGATCCAGTGAATCCATAATTTCATTTTGCCTTGTTTTGTGAGATATGATACACACACACATACACACCCACACACAAACAAAACAAGGCAAAACCTGTCCTGAGTCACTTTGACTCAGACCAACCCTGTAAGCAGAGTGGAGCAGTCCTTTGGCTCGCTGAGGCTGTGAGTCTTGATAGGAGTGAGAGTCTCCCCTTTTTTCAGATGAGTGGCTGTTGGTTTCAAACTGTGGTAGTTATATAATTGTCAATAAGCCCATCTCCAGAGGGAAGTCAGAAATGATCATTTCTCTGGGGGTGGAAGTGTTGGTGTTTACTAAATAAGCACTGGAAACACTAAGACCAATTATCTTTGTGTGTGCCCTCCAGAAATGCCTTCCACCTGCAGCTCCCTAACCAGCAGGCCTGTCTTCTGGTTCAAACCTAAATACTCCTTAGGTGCTAAGGCAAACTATTTACACCACCCAGGGACTTACCCCTTTGAATTAAGTGTTACTAAGGGGATTGTGTCTTTCCTGGAGAATGTCACGCCTATCAATCTGTTGAGATGCCATGGTGACCAGCAAGGACTTCTCTAGTGAGATATGCAAATAACCCCAGAAACACATCGGGGTTCTATTTGCTGTCCTTGGGTCCAGGGGTCAGCATCTCAATTGGGAGAATAAGGGAGTAGTTTATCTTGTCCGGGAAATCACTGCTAGCACACAGCATTTCACTATTTGCCTGAAAGTGGCCAAAAAAAAAACAAAACTTCTCTTTGTGGGTCACATGACCCTACCAGCTCTCAGGGCGGATCCCTTCCTACAAGGGTGCTGTAAGGAGTCTCTGGAATCCGTGGGGTTTTTCTCTGAAACTTCCGAAGGAAAGCAGGTGGATGGATACATAGGCATGGCCTTCCTCCGACTGCCCTTTCTGGCCTTCTTGAGCTTCACCTCGGGCTGTCACCATAGGCTCTGTCACTGCTCTAACGGGGTTTTCCTGTGCCAGGAGAGCCAGGTGACAGAGATTCCCGCAGACATCCCCAGGAATGCTGTTGAACTGTGAGTAACCCGGGAATGGGAACAGCTGCGTGGTGGGGTCCCATTATTATGGTTACGTTAGAGTCATATCTATTAGTCTGAAATCGCCTGGCCAGACCAAAAACGGAAATAAGACAAACTTCTTCAGTCTGACACTTCAGCCCCTGTCTTCCCAATGATCTTAGGCGCGAACGTCAGCATTTGTCTGCGTGGGAACCTGAATTCAAAGGCAAGGGAAGATTTTTGTCTTTTCTATATTTGCTCTTGGGTTCCATACACCTTTGGTGGAATCAGGAAAATAAAAAGAAAGTGAAGTAGAAACTTAGAAGACTTAGACCAGAGGCAGAAAGGAAGACTTTGATCTTAATGGAATACACAATTTGTGTCTCCTGAGGGCACTGAATTCAAGAGGGCAGAGAGTGCCAGAGTCAGCTGCACTCTGAAGACAGCAGCAAATAGTTTTTGAATGAGATTCTCCTTTCTGAGGCAAAAAAAAAAACAGAGGGAGAGGGGGAGGAGTGTGAAGAAAGGAAAAAGGGAGGCAGTGGTGGAGGGAGAAATGATAATGTTTACGACGTGGGAAAATGCGATTTTGGAGAGTAAAGCTGATTGCTCACACAGTCACAGTGAGTCCAGTTAGAGCCAAAGTCAAAAATCGAGTCTTTTAATTTAACAATCTACTGATTTTGCTTCCAACCCACGTGCTGATTGTGAGAGAGCTGTATTGTGACATGGCTGTGTAAGGTCCTGTGCAGTCTCTTGGGCATTGGTGAATTGTGACTCTTCTTATTATTCGAGGGTTATTAAACATAAGCTCGTGTCATAGAGACCTGTTTAAACCATTGCCCTCTAAAGATATAACTCTTTACGGGAGATGAATGCTTATCTTTCTCCTGTGGAACATCTGGTGGTTCAGACTGCTTTGTTGTAAGCATCCCAACACATAATCCACTTCCCCACCACGGCTCTTGTGAAGCTATTAACAACTCCTGTTTATTACAGAAAGTGATCGTCTTTTCAGTGTGTTGTGTACACTCAAATATGTTAGGGTCGGGATTCAGACTCTTAACTAGGGACACGTTTTCCCCCTGGACAAGATTTTCCCTGGTGTGACCGACTGCCTACCAGCTTGTCCCTTGATATTACATGTCTTTAATTTTCAGCCAGAGGCAGCAGTGGTGGCAGGAAAAATAACTGGTGAGCTCTGTGTTTTGGCTACACAACCTCAGATGAGACAGATAATCCTGATTATGTCAAGGAATGTGCCGATGCAAAAGGACAGTCTGGTTTATTAAATCATAAACACAGAGAGAAACAATGTACCCAAACTCCTAGATGAAGTCACTTATCCCTAAGAGACTAGACAATTACTTAACCCCTTCTGAGTCTGCTAGATGGGAATCTTGTGAAAACTAAGGAAGATGATGCTTCTCCTACATCTGTTGGCTGTGCATCAAATAGTGCCAAAGGGTTGCTTAAGAAAAGAAGTCTTCTGAAGGTATAATTGCAATGTGATACTCTTCCTTGCCCCACATTGCCACACCCCTTCCACTGTCAATTGTCTGTTTCTGAAATCTCTTTAAGAAGGAAGAGATTGAGAGATAGTCTCATTTTGGGTAGGAAACATACGCTTCATAAAAGGAAAACTGCAGCTTCAAATCTCAGAGAGTATGTGTATATATGCGTGTGGGAAGGGGGAGACTATGATTCTAAAAGCCAAATTTACTCATACTAATATGCAAATGAACAATACACCTTTCTGCCAAAAATAAATGTATACCTGAAGGAAAAGAACACAAGGCATTACAGTATTAGGGAAAAGCTTATGAGGGTGAGCTGTTAAGCAGAGAATCATAAACACAGTGTGTTCTTAGCAAAAGTTAGCTGTAGGTTAAGCCTTTACAGAGGTGTATGCAATAGAGGACATAGCTGGAAAACATCAAGAAGGGGAAAGAAAGTGGCTTTCATTTAAACCTACTCCTCATTATGCAATATTTTCTACTTATGATAATAATTTTAAAAATTACCATATGCATTAACAATGTTCATCTGGCTGCAAGAAATGCTGAGGTATGAGATATGAGTAACACTGGCTAGGATAGTTAGATGAGGCAATCACAGGGCTAGGCTATGATTCTCAGTGGTTTGTCAGTAGTGTCGTGATGTAGTTTGTTAGTTATGCAATGATGTAATCATTCTTCATTTTGTAAGATGATACAGTCATCCTCCATTTTGTGGTAGTTATATAATTGTCAGTTTAAGGATTAAGTGTGTAGGGGTGGGGTCTAGCCTGTCAATCAGGTCATAAACAATGAGGCTTCTGTTGGGCATAGCCTTCCCCTAAGGATTCTGGGAATTCTGGTATTTTCTTCCTTGGAGGTGGGAGACTCTCTGCTCACACCCTGGGAGACATAGCAGCTGACAAGATACTTAGACCCACCCTGATGCAGCCGTGGGTGCTGGAGAAGCCATTATGGTACCTTGGGAGTGGGGTACTGGAGAAACAAATCATAAAGCTGGAAAGGAGATGCTTATTTGACTTCTGCCTCATAGTAGTGTTTCATCTTGGGCTAGCCAGAATTCAGATATATCCTTGCAGTTTGCTGAGTTGTTTTAGGAAAGAATATGGGAAGTTACAGTTTTGATTATTGTGTTTTATTGTAGTCTTTGGTTATTCCTGTTTGAAATGCTGAGAATGGGTGTGATTAATATATATTTTGAGCTCAAGGGTAGAAATCGCCATTTGACTTTCTCAGAGACCATGCTGGTTAGAGAAAGTGGTTGACAAAACGTCAAAATGGCAGGCGGAAAACCTAACCCTGGCAGAGGCCTAATCCCATATTTTTGTATAAATAAAATAGTTTAGATAAGGATTTAGATAAGCTAAATAAGGATTGAACTTGACTATTTTAAGAATTGAGTTTAGTATCTGATTCTATGTTGCTTATACAGATTTCCTCTGTTTAATATTATTGATATAATGATTGATAGAAATGGTTTTTTTTTGTTTGTTTGTTTGTTTTGCATTTTAGTGTTTTTTTTAATCATTTTATTAGGGGCTCATACAACTCTTATCACAATCCATACATACATCAGTTGTGTAAAGTGCATTTGTACATTCATTGCCCTCATCATTCTCAAAACATTACC